AGAACAACTGTTAATACTGGTGTTTTGCAAGGTGCCTTTAATAGACAGTTTTCCATGTCTATTCATGTTCTTTCTCAATGGCATTTTCTATTATATGAGTGGCACTGTACTTTATTTAATGAAACTTTGGCTTGCTCCCAAGTTGTTTTACTATCATAAACATGGCTGAGACAGCATAACAAGAGTTGTTTTGACAGTCATGTTAAACAGGATGTCAGCAGTCCCTCAGCGGGAAAGCGAAGGGGAACTTGGGGTGGTACAGCTGTGAGGGTGAGTGGCCCCTTTCCTCGTGTCTTCATCCCAGCCTCCTAGCTGAACCCCTGTGTACTGCTTTGTCATTAACCTGGCCCAGCTGCACCCGAGAGCTCATTGAATGGTTGACTTAAGAGCTATGCATTTCACTATGTGTAAATAATCCTCGATAGTTTTTAAAACTAAATATGTCCTAGTTGCAAACCAGCAACTTCTTGCTGTTTTTGTCCATGTTAGTATAAATGGGATTGGGTGGAATAAAAACCAAAACAAACAAAAAAGAGGCACAGAGAGGAGCTGGCTGGGCACTGCCCTCCGGCATGGGACGGTGAAGGGAGCAGTTCCTGGGAGCAGGCTCAGTTTGGTGGGGGTGGCCACCACACTGCCCTAACCTGCAGCCCCCCACGTGCATGAAGCCCCACATTGCTGGCTTGCGCTGTGGTGTGGGTTATAAAAGTCCAGCATGGCACCTGAAATGAGACAGGGAGTCAACATACAGGAGCCATTTTTGAACCTCCAGGAACTTTTCCAGGTAGGTGCTGCTGGCACTGGGCTGCTATGGTCTTTAGTTTCTCCCGTGGGTTGGTGGTGAGTCAAGGGGCCCCAGGGGAGAGCAGAAAGAAGCTGGGCGCTGGGGATGCTGCTAACTGCGTATTTCTGAAGGTCAGAAAAACCTCAACTCAGTGCAGCTGGGCTGTCCCCTCCCAGGGTGGATGAGGGTGGAGTTAAGTGGAGAGAACTCTGGAAGGGGGTGAGGCAGGGGCAGAGGAATGAGCAATTCTGTCTGAAGGAGGTGGGCCTAGCGTACCAAGGGAAGATATTCTTTTCTTCCAAAAGCAAAAAAAAAGGGGAAATGACAATAGCTCTGCTCAGAGCCTGGCTCAGGGCTACTTCAATGTCTCTGCCGGCACCACTATCCTACCCACTGCCTTTACAACTTCATGTCGGAAAAGAACATGCTTCCTATGATGAAATATCAATCTCACACAGATTTTGGAGGGATTACATATACACGCATCTGCTTTAGCTTTGAGGTTATTTATATTTGAACAGCAAGCTGCATGCCTTAAGTTCTAGTTATTGGGAACATGTAGGCCACGGTTTGTATTGATGCCAACCTGTATGCCTACATATTGTAGGGTGAGCCATATAACCCATAGAAAACAAATCGATAGTGATGAACCAAATATAAATTATCATTAAGGAACAAAACAGCACTTTAAAATCATGACCCATTCAAGACAACAGTGATGGTCCTCTGATTACCCTGAGTTTTTCTAAACAACTTCCAGTGGGGACTTCCAGCAACTTTTGTGGACACTAGCCCCATGGAAATCTGCAGGATGGTTTGGTTTTGCAGGTACCTCTGGGCAGAAGAGTAGGCTGGCATCCCCTTTAAAGCTGACAGAATTCATCATGTGAGTTTATGAGTTCCAAATAATAGTAATAAACTCAATAATTCACTAGGTAGGTGTTTGGTAAATGCTTTTTTGATGTAAAAATGAAATTATATACACATTAAAGGAGGATCAGTGAGTGGCTTATCAGAAGCGTCCTCCCAGTGTTCCACAGCGTTAAATGTTAAACCCTGAGAAGCCTTAACAGGAGCTCTGAATCACCTGAGCTGGTTATTGAAAATGCAGCTTCAGGGCCCCCCTTGCAGAGATTCTGGTTAAATAAGTCTAGAGTGAGACCCACAAATCTGCATTTTAAATAAGCCCTGGAGGGGATTCTGATGCATGTGGTCCACAGATACAAATTGATGGAAAATGCCCAAGGAGAATGGGGCCACTCTCTGCCAGGTGTTAAGAGCACCTGCTATTCTGAGAGCATTTCCAGGACTGGAGTCTGCCTTTGTAAGTTCTGGGTGAGAAGGCAGGTCAAGCTGGTTTATAGTCACATACAGGGAAGGTAGTGAAGAATGCCCAAACATAGAGGGTGCTCTACGTTGGAGAAATTTTTAGTTTAATCTTTGGGTTGTGACAGCTTGGCAGGAACTAAAGACCTCTTAGAGAGGGATGGGCCTGAGGCATGAGAGACTCAGAGGCCAGGCCAGAGATGCAGCATGAAAGGGAGGGAAACATGGAGAAGGATGGAAGGACATGGCAGAGGGGATAAAGGGGAAGAAAGGCACGTGCAGCTGACACCTATTACTATATCCCGAGGGCTTTGCCTGTGTTCGCCCATTCACTCCTCAGCACAGCACTCTAAGAGGGCAATAACATTCCCTTTTTACATGTGAGGAGACAGTAGCTCCCAAAGGTTAGAAAGAGAATGGAAGTCAGGATTTTATTTCAGGACTATGTGGTCCCTAAGGGATCACTCTTATTTTGTGCTGCTTAAGGCAAGTAAACTACATGCAGTCATATACCCATCTATACATGTATTCATTATTTCATTCATTCACTCAACATAAATGAGCTCCTGCTAAGTGCCAGGCACTGAGACAGGGGCTGAGGATAGACAGGTGAACAAAAGAGACTCTGCCTTAGATCTTAAGTGGAAATATGAATATTAAACGGTCAGGCACGTACCTATAACTTTGCAAATAGTTGTAAAAACTGAAAGGGAAAATTGCAGGTTCTGTGAGAAATGAAGCGGGACCCTTAATTTAAACTGGAGGGTCAGAAAAGCCCTCTATGGAATGTGAGACTTGAAGGATGGGTAGGAATTAGCTGAGCTTAAGTGTGGGGAAAAATGTCCCAGAACTGTGCTGTCCAAAAGAACTTTTGGTGGTAATGGAAATGTTCTGTGTTGTGCTGTCCAATATAGTAACTGTCAGCCACATGTGATTGGCAAGCATTTAAAATGTGTCTAGTGTGACTGACACATAAAGCTTAAATTTTACTTAATTTTAATTAATAAAAAATATATATTTCTTAAAAATCACATGTGGCTAGTGGCCACTCTATTGGACAGCACAGCTCTAGAACAAATAAAAAGTTTAGGCAAAGGACCTGAACTGAAAAAGGCTTTGGTGGCTTCCAGATGCCTATTGCGTGGTGGGTACAGCAGGGAGACTGAGACAGGGTGAGGTCTGAAGGGAACAGGGCTCAGAGTGTGCAGTCACTTGAGAGAACGGGGCTTCAGACTATGCAGATACTTGAGGGAACAAGTCTCAGAGTGTGCAAGCCCTTTTAGGCCTCATGAGGGGTTTTCAGTTTTACTGCAGTGAGGAAGTTGTTGAAGGATTTTGAGAAGAGTAACTTGGTCAATTTTTGTTTTAAGATCACTTTGCCCTATAGTAAAACGATCAGAGGGAGCTAAAGTTAGAGAAAGGAAACAAAGGGGTAAATATTATCATTTCCTAGGAAAGAGATGGTGGTGGCTCAGCTTAGGGTGGAAACTGGAAATGAAGATACATGGGTGGATGTGTGCTATAAATTTAGATATCAGCAGAACATACAGTTTTAAACATGCAGAATCCAGTAGCCTAGGCCTGTGTTGTCTAAAATGGTAGCCTTTAGCCCCTTGCGGCTCCTGAAATTTAAATGAATTAAAATTAAATGAAATAAACATGTTGCTACTGTACCATCCACATTTCAAGTGCTCAAAGGTGACATGTGGCCAGTGGCTGCCATTATTGATTGGACAGGATCACTTTTACTAAACATTCCCATCATCATAGAAACCTCTACTGGACAATGCTAAAGTGACTTGGAGAAATGTTTAAAAATGGATCTAGAAGAGATCAAGAGGTCATCAGGTTCAACACCCTCACTGTAGAGGTGACATTCTGGGGGACACTCAGCTGATGTTGCTGGAGTGGTGCCTACACCAGGCTCTCGGACGGCAGCTTTCCACCCAACACATCAGAAGTGTCATGGGCAGAAATGCCTGCTTCCCGGGAGCTTTGCATCCTGAGAGAAAGGCCCTGCTCCAAGGGTAAAGGGCAAAGCAGCTCTCACTCCTCCCCAAGCTTTTGTCCAAGAGAGGAGGATGGGAGCAGAGGCCAAGGGCACATAAATGGAGTAATGAGGCACACTTGTCAGAGGCTAAACTAAAGCATTGCTAGCAGTGTCTGTCTAAGGAAAGGCTTCTGGAAGGCTCAGGCCTGATTCTTAGACCATTTAGCAATTCCACAGCAACCTGAAAAAGAAAGGCTAAGACAGAAACAAATGAAACACCATCATTATTTCCAGCGAACATGGCCTGTCACTGGAAGCTCAGAGAATGTGTCTTTAGCTCCTTCTGCAGAAAAGAATGCATTGCTTTCTGAAAGCCACACACCACCCAGACCATTCAGTCCATCCCCTCACTCAAGAAACACCACAGAAATGGATTCCAGAGAAATCCCATCAGCATACCTTTGCCACACAAGGCTGGACCCCAGGTGACCCTTGTGGTCTCCAGAGAAGCATAAGGAAGAAGAAGGAAAAAAAAAACAAGGTACTAAAGCCTCCTGGTGACCTAGTAATTCTGGGAACAATGAAGCAAGTTCACAGGAAGTAAGTGAAGAGAGGAAAAACTTTGTTTTCCTCACCTCTGAGCTTCTAGTTATGGGCAGGGCTTGGCTCAGATGAGTCAAAAGGAGGAGGGGAGCTGGGAGCTGCCGGAGGAGCAGGCTTGGGGAGGAGAGGAATGCACAGTGGGAGGATACAGTGCTAAGCCTGTGACAAACTTCACTGTGGGACAATGGGTTTATCTCCACCTCCCCTACCCTGGCTCAGGCTGCTCAGGACTATAGGACTCAGGGTCATAGGCCCTAGGAGATGACCAGATCTCACCTCAATGACAGCAATGGTGCCCCAACTGTCTTCTAGTATTTCTTGTTGCCCTGTGCCTTGTTGGAGTATGGACAGATGATGCGTGACTATGACGCTTCCATATGTCATATCCCTTGGTCAGTACTTGAATTTACATCTCTCACGTTTGTATTGTCATTACTCTTGAATAGGATAACAAGGATGGCTACCATTAATTGAGGACTGCCTATGTGCTGGGTGCATTGCTAAGGGTTTCATGTGCATTATCTCAATTAAACTTCACAATAACCCTATGGGATTATTGTTATTTCCACTTTACCAATGAAGAAAATGAGGCTCAGAAAAGTGAATATGATCCAGCGATCATGCTCTTTGGTATTTGCCCAACCGAGTTGAGGACTTATGTCCATGCGAAAACCTGCACGTGATTGTTTACAGCAGCTGTATTTGTAATTGCCAAAACGTGGAAGCAACCAAGACGTCCCACAGTAGGTGAATGGATAAACTGGTACATCCAGACAATGGAGTTTTATTCATGACTAAAAGAAAATGAGCTATCACTGTTTACAATAGCAAAGACCTGGAACCAACCCAAATGCCCATCGACGATAGACTGGATAGGGAAAATGTGGCACATATACACCATGGAATATTATGCAGCCATCAGAAACGATGAGTTTGGGTCCTTTGTAGGGACATGGATGAACCTGGAAACCATCATTCTCAGCAAACTGACAGAAGAGCAGAAGATCAAACACCGCATGTTCTCACTCATAGGCGGGTGTTGAACAATGAGAACACATGGACACAGGGAGGGGAGCACTACACACTGGGGTCAGTTGGGGGGAAATAGGGGAGGGAGGGTGGGGGGTGGGAAGCTGGGGAGAGATAGCAAGGGGAGAAATGCCAGATGTAGGTGATGGGGAGGAAGGCAGCAAATCACACTGCCACGTGTGTTCCTATGCAACAATTTTGCATGTTCTTCACATGTACCCCAAAATGTAAAATGCAATAAAATAAATAAATGGAAAAAAAAAAAAAAAAAAAAGAAAATGAGCTATCAAACCATGAAAAAACATGGAGGAAGCTGAAATGCATGTTGCTAAGTGAAAGAGCCAATCTGAAAAGGCTACATACTGTATGATTCCGACTACATGGCATTATGAAAAAGGCAAAACTATGGAGACAGTAGAAGAATCAGTGGTTGTCAGAGGTCTGGGGGCAGCAAAGGATGAACAGGTGAAGAGCAGAGGATTTTTAGGGCACTGGAGCTACTCAGCATTATACTATAATGGTGGGTGCATATCCTTACACATTTGTCTAAACCTGTAGAATGTACACCAGGAGTGAACTCTAATGCAAAGTATGAACTTTGGATGATAATGACGGGTCAGTGTAGGTTCATCAATTGTAATTAATGCACCACTTCAGTGTGGGATGTTGACAGTGGAGGAAGCTGGGGCTGGGGGTAGTGTATGGGAAACCTCTGTACTTCTAACCCAATTTTTTTGTGAACCTAATACTGCTCTAAAAATTAAAGTCTAGCTGGGCACAGTGACTCAGGCCTGTAATCCCAGCACTTTGTGGAGCTGAGGCTGGAGGATTGCTTGAGCCCAGGAGTTTAAGACTGGCCTGGGCAACACAGCAAGATCCTGTCTCTACAAAATTGAAAGGTTAACCAGGTGTAGTGGCACATGCCTGTGGTCCCAGCTTCGCAGGAGGGTAAGGTAGGAGAACTGCTTGATCCCAAGAGGTCAAAGCTGCAGTGAGCCATGTTCACGTCACTGCACTCCAGTCTGGGTGACAGAATGAGAACCTGTCTCAAAAATAAAAAGTCTATATTAAAAATAAAAGTGTCAGCATCTGTTCAAGGTCCCCACACTAGTGATCAGTGTAGCTGGGACCTAAGTGCAGGGCTCTTCAACTTCAGATACTACCTTCTTTGCCTTTATGGTATCCCATATGACTGCAGGCTTTCATACCTCACGAAGGCTTTTGTTTTTAATTAACCACTTTAATTTACAGTGATCCCAAGATGTCAGCATAATTCTATTTTCCAGATAAGGAAATAGGCTCAGAGAGATTAACGAATTCACTCACGTCATGTATTGGGTGAGTGAGTAGCTGAATCAGAGCTTGAATCTAGGCGAAACTACTCAAATCTCTGTGCTCTTCTCAAATAACACATATCATCCAGACACTCATCTGACTAAGAACACACAGAGTGCTGTCTGGGCTGATTGCTGTACCTGCCAGGGATAATGATATGACTCAACCATATAGTCTATTCATATGACTTCCGCTAGACCTTAAGTCATCCCACTAGGTGCTGGCAGTAGATGGAGCCTATGTGTAGATGTGGGCCACATCGCCACCAAAGCAAGGTGCATGAAAAATGCTTTGTCAATGGTTCACACCTAGAACACAGGGGTGTGTGACAAGTGGAGGGAGAAGGAAAGAGGGAAGTAACTGGGTCAGGGTGCTGAGAAACTGAGATGCAAGCCCAGCACCTCACTTCTCACCAGAGAAGTCTCAGCTTTTCTACCCACTGGGACTTGGGATTTGGGGCCCATGGTAGCCAGACCTCCTGGTTATAGGGGAAAGGTTATAGCAGCAGTGGTCATGGAGAAGGCCCTTTGGAAACACTGAAGAACACTTAAAACTCCCTTCTCTCAGCTGAGTGTGGTGGCTCATGCCTGTAATCCCAGCACTTTGGGATACCAAGGCAGGTAGATCATAAGGCCAAGAGATCGAGACCATCCTGGCCAACATGGTGAAATCCCGTCTCTACTGAAAACACAAAACTTAGCTGGGCATGGTGGTGCACTCCTGTAATCCCAGCTACTTGGGAGGCTGAGGCAGGAGAATCACTTGATCCCATGAGGCGGAGGTTACAGTGAGCTGAGATCATGCCACTGCACTCCAGCCTGGCAACAGAGTGAGACTGTTTCTCAGAAACACACACACACACACACACACACACACACACACACACACACACACAAAACAACAACAACAAAAACTTCCCTTCGCTCTCTGTCCTTTTTCTAGAGGCAATTTGACAATGTCATTCTTTCCCTTGTGAGTGGGGAATTTGCCTGATTTTAATCCTGAGCACATGCTCGTCTCATCTCTCCTCCTGGTCCTCTTTCTTCCCTTTTCTTCTGGGCCACATGCCCTTCCTTATTCTCTCTTAGGAAAGGAGGTGATGGAGGGAGCTGCCCATGTTTTCCTTGAGTTTTGGCAAGGGTGTAGGGTTTTATACCCCAGTGTTAACCAACCACTCCAGAACTACTTCAGGAATAAACCAGGAAAGCCGAGATAACCTACAGACTCTCTGAAGGAAGTGGATTGCTCCTGCAGAACCTTGGAGTCAGCCCAAATTCTGTGAGTGCCCAAACTGTGGAAGTGGGAAAGGGGGATCATCTGCCCCCAAACACACAACCTCACTGGAAAACCTGAAAGTCTAGATTATGGGAGAACATTCTGACCTTACCTGGAGCTGAGTCAATATAGAGAGCTGAACAAAATATAGCGGGGAAAGCCTGTGCGCTCTCTGGGTCCCCTGAAAAGCTATTTCAGACTTGTCTCACAGGACTCCTTGGGGAGGTGTGGAACTGGGAAAAGACCACAAGGAAAAGGAAATCTCCAGCTGAACCTTGTAAAATTTCTAACCAAATACAAAGTTTCCTGGCCAGAACTCAGGGGAGAGCATGAATCTGATGTGCAGAATCCATGCATGAAAGCCCCACTTGCTTTAGCAGCTGGGAGGCTTATAGCCTGGATAAGTTCTCAGCCCTGCTCACCCACTGCCTGGAAACAGACTCGGTGCTATTGATGGAGCTGAGTGGGGCACAATGGGAGTGAGACCTGCCTTTTGGGTTGTGTCGGAGCTGGGTGAGGCCTGTGACTTCTAGATTTCCCCCACTTCCCTGAAAACCTGCATGACTCACCAGAGGCAGCTATAATCCTCCTGGGAACAGAACTCCATTGACCTGGGAACCATACCCCCAACCCCCACAGCAGCCACAGCATGACCCACTCAAGAAGAGTCTGAGCTCAGGCATACCTAACCCTGCCCCCACCTGATGGTCCTTCCTTATTCAACCTGGTAGCTGAAGATGAAGGGCATGCACTCTTGGGTGTTCTAGGGCCCCACCTACCCACCACCTGATCCTTCCTATACTACCACAGCTGATGCTCTCTTGAAAGTACCACCTCCTGGCAGAAGGCCAACCAGCACAAAAACAGCGCATTAAACAACCAAAACTATGGGCCCTCATAGCCCTCACAGAGGGTTTAATTCACGTCCCTGCCACCTCCACTGGAGCATGTGCTGGTATCCGCAGCTGAGAGACCCAAAGACAATTCACATCACAGGACTCTGCAGACAACCTGCAGTACCAGCCTGAAGCCTGGTAGACTTGCTGGGTGGCTAGATCCAGAAGAGAGATAACAATCTCTACAGTTTGGCTCCCAGAAAGCCACATCCCTAGGAAAAGAGGGAGAGTACTAAATCAAGTAAACACCCTGTGGGACAAAATAATCTGAAGAGCAGCCTTGAGCCCTGGATCTTCCCTCTGACATAGCATACCCAAATGAGAAGGAACCAGAAAAGCAATTCAGGTAATATGACAAAACAAAATTCTTTAACATGCCCCCCACCGCCCCCACAAAATCACACTAACTCACCAGCAATGGATCCAAACCAAGAAGAAATCCCTGATTTACCTGAAAGACAATTTAGAAGATCAGTCATTAAGCTAATCAAAAAGGCACCAGAGAAAGGTGAAGTCTGATTTAAGGAAATTTTAAAAAATGATACAAGAAAAATCTTCAGTGAAATAGATAGCATAAATTTAAAAAAAATCACAACTTCATGAAATAAAGGACACACTTAGAGAAACGCAAAATATTCTGGAAAGCCTCAGCAATGGAATCAAACAAGAAGAAAGAACTTCAGAGCCTTGAAGACAACGTTTGCAAATTAACCCAATCCAACACAGACAAAGAAAAAAGAATAAGATAAAATGAACAAAGCCTCCAAGATGTTTGGGATTATGTTAAATAACCAAACCTAAGAATAACTGATGTTCCTGAGGAAGAAGAGAAATCTAAAAGGTTAGAAAACATTTTTGGGGAAATAACAGAAAAATTTATTTGGCCTTGCTAGAGACCTAGACATCCAAATACAAGAAGATCAAATAATACCTGGGAAATCTATTACAACAAGATTATCACCTAGAAACATTGTCATCTAAAGGTTATCTAAAGTCAAGACAAAGGAAAGAATCTTAAAAGCTGTGAGGCAAAAGCACAAGGTAAACTATAAAGGAAAATCTATCAGATTAATAGCAGATTTCTCACCAGAAAGCCTACAAGCTAGAAGGGATTGGAGCCCTGTCTTCAGCCTCCTTAAACAAAACAATTATCAGCCAAGAATTTTGTATCCAGAAAAACTAAGCTTCATAAATGAAGGAGAGATACAGCCTTTTTCAGACAAACAAATGCTAAGAGAATTCGCCACTACCAAGCCAGCACTACAAGAACTACTAAAAGGAGCTCTAAATCTTGAAACAAATCCTAGAAACACATCAAAACAGAACTTCTTTAAAGAGTAAATCACACAGGCCCTATAAAACAAAAATACAAAAAAAAAAAAAGAGAACAATTAAAAAAACAAGGTATACAGGCAACATATAGCATGATGAATGGATTAGTACCTCACATCTCAATTCTAATGCTGAATGTAAATAGCCTAAATGCTCCACTTAAAAGATACAGAATTGCAGAATGGATAAGAATTCTCAATCAACTATCTGCTGCCTTCAAAATACTCACCTAACACACAAGGACTCACATAAACCTAGGGTAAAGGGATGGAAAAAGACATTCCATGCAAATGGACACCAAAAGTGAGCAGGTGTAGCTATTCTTATAAGACAAAACAAACTTTAAAGGAACAGCAGTCAAAAAACAACAACAACAACAACAACCGAAGAAGGACATTATGTAATGATAAAAGGACATTATGTAATTATCAAATGATATATATTTAGGATTGTGATATTGTTCAACAGGAAGATATCACAATCCTAAATATGCATGCACTTAACACTGGAATTTATAAAACAATTACCACTAGACCTAAGAAATGAGCTAGACAGCAACATAATAGTGGGGGACTGCAACACTCCACTGACAGCACTAGACAGGTCATCAAGACAGAAAGTCAACAACAACAAAATGGATTTAAACTATACCATGGAATAAATGAACTTAATATTTACAGAATATTCTAGTGAACACCCACTGATTATACATTCTATTCACCAGCTCAGGGAAATTTCTTCAAGATAGACTATATGATAAACCACAAAACATGTCTCAATAAATTTAAGAAAGTTGAAATTATATCAAGTACTCTCTTAGTGAAATAAAACTGTAAGTCCACTCCAAAAGGAACATTCAAAACTGTGCAAATACATGGAAATTAAATAACCTCCTCCTGAATGATCATGGGGTCAGCAATGAAATCAAGATGGAAATTTAAAAATTCTTCAAACTGAACAATAATAGTGACACAAGCTATCGAAGCCTCTGGGATACAGCAAAGGCAGTGCTAAGAGAAAAGTTTCAGACTCAGAAAGTCTGAAAGAGCACAAATAGACAATCTGAGATTACACCTCAAGGAACTAGAGAAACAAGAGCAAACCAAACCCAAACCCAAACCCAGCAGAAGAAAGGAAATAACCAAGATCAGAGCAAAACTAAATGAAACTGAAACAAACAAAAAATTACACACAAAAAATGAAACAAATAGCTGATTCTTTGAAACGCAAAATAAAATTGATAGACCATTAGCAAGATGAACTAAGTAAAGAAGAGAGAAAATCCAAATAAACTCAAGAGGGGTGATACTACAACTGATGCCACAGAAATACAAAAGATTATCCAAGGCTGCTATGCAAAGGCAGAAGAATGATGCAACGGACTTTGGGGACTCAGGGGGAAAAGTGGGAAGCGGGTGAGGGATAAAAGGCTACAAATTTGGATCAATATATACTGCTTGGGTGATGAGTTCACCAAAATCTGACAAATTACTACTAAAGAATTTACTCGCTGGGCATGGTGGTGCACGACTGTAATCCCACCGCTTTGGGAGTTTGAGGTAGGAGGATCACGAGGTCAGGAAATCAAGACCATCCTGGCCAACATGGTGAAACCCTGTCTCTATTAAAATGCAAAAAAAAAAAAAAAAACAAATTAGCCGGGTGTGTGGCCCGCACCTGTAATCCCAGCTACTCAGGAGGCTGAGGCAGGGTAATCTCTTGAACATGGGAGGCGGAGGTTGCAGTGAGCCGAGATTGTGCCACTGCACTCCAGGCCTGGCAACAGAGTGAGACTCCGTCTCTAAATAAATAAATAAATAAATAAAAGAACTTACTCATGTAACCAAATACCACGTGTCCCCCAAAACCTATGTAAATCAAATTTTTTTAAAAAAACAAGAGGGCTGTCCTCTGGCAGCACTTGCAATTGCTGTGGGAATAAGTCCTTCAGTCCTGAAGGGGATCTGGGCAGCTCATCACAGAATCTATAATGGCCCATCTTTTTGTGCCTCTCAAATCCACTTTTTATGGGTTCTGGAATCAGCTCCTCTCCATGACTGCTTCATTTTCTATTTGCTGTCAAAATTCATTAAATGGGTACCATTGGACACCCAAGTGATTTACCCGGTGCCAGAGGTAGTCCTCCCTGCCCCTGACTGACAGCAGCCCTACCTCCTCTTTGCTGATCAGGGTCACTTACCTATGCCAGAACAGTGAGTCACTTCTTGATTTCTGGCTCCTCAGCACAAAAAACCCCAAGTGCCCTGATGGCAGCTGCAGCTTAGAATTCAATGGGACTCTCTGTGATCTCTGGAAGGACTTCCCCTTGAGATAACTAGGACTTCTAAACACAGAGAGCTCAGTGCTTCAGAAATGAAAGCAAGAACTCCCCAAGGTCACTGAGAGTGATGGTAAGTGGGGTTTCTTCCCCTAGCTTTCTAGACTCATGTATTCTCCCCATGGGGGATGCAGCCCCTTCAAAGGGAAACCTGGGATGCACAGATGAGACTGCAACAATAGTTTAACCAATGTCATTTAAAGTGTATCACAACATTTTTGGGGAAGGTTCCTCTGGGAGCACAGTGGACTCTCCTACATAAGGCTGAAGTCATCCTGTATTCTGAAAATGTGCTGGTGTGCTCCCTGCTCAGGTGACATTGAGCTATAAGCTTCTCCATGACTTACACCTTTTTCTACATACTTCCATGGCTTCCTATTGTACACACTCACTCCTTCCCTCTCTTTCTCTCCCTCTCTCACACACACACATACACATGCACGCGCGTGCACACACACACACACACACATACACACACACACACACACACACTAGCAATGGAGTAGAACCTTGACCCCAGCCTGCTACCTAGGGTTTAGACTTCCGTTTGAGCCCCAGCCCCTCTCCAGGGGTCACTTTACCTGGAGCAAAACCAGGCTGTTCCCTAGGGTGTTGAGAAAGCAAGGAAAGGACTGGCCATTAGAGTCCTAAGAAAGCCATTGGAGAAGAAAACACAACTCTCCTACCTAGTGATAACAATAGGATTTTCTGCTTTCTATTCTATTAGATGTCTCAGCTACAAGGAAAAACACAACAGGCCTTAGTTGAGTTTCATTCAGAACAGAATTATCAGGCCTCCTGTGTAATTTTCTTACAGAGCCTTACAGGTTCCAAAGACACCTCTGCTTCCAGTTGTTTTTTTTTTTTCCACGGCCCCACAGAGGAGAGGCCTCCCAGGCCCCAGCAGGAGATGACCTCAGCCTCAGCTTTCTGTTCTGAGAGGCTGCTCCTTCTGTCTCTGAGCTGCGTCCCCTGCACTGGGCCCTGGTGGGGAAAGCACACTTTCAAGGCTCCAAGTATTTTTAATCACTATGTGTTTCTGGGACCTGGAATGGGGCACGGGATTCTGGTCATTTTTCTTTTCTTTTCCTGCACCATCTGCTGGGCAGAAATTTCAGGCTGTGTGTATTTATGGGAGACATAGTGGACTCTGAGAGGACGGTGACACACTGACCTTCCCTGGGGGCCTGGAGGCTTCTCCTTTCTGCTCCTCCCAGCCTGTTGCCCTGGACCAAGGACACCTTCCAGGGGGATCACTGAGCTGTGCAAGGAAGAGGGCTGGGGAGGACATGGCAGCAGAGCTCTGGCTCTGCCTCTCAAGCTCTGGCTTCTAACCTGAGGGTCACCTCACTCCTGCAAGTATGCCCAAAATGTCTCTTGTGGCACATCTATTCCTTCCTCAACCTGGGAAACTGCTAAGCCTGGGGCTACAGAAGGAGGGAACTGAGAGACAGACGCCACCACGGTCCCTGCCACGTAGGATCACCCAACAAATACTCATCAAGTAAATGATACTCCTGGCTGATGTGGATGGCCTGTGGCTGACTCTGTATGTGTGTGTCTTTTCATTCCAGCCCCACCTACAGCCCAGTGGCCCCCAAAGAAATGTCAGCGAGCTGCTGTGTGGGCCCAAGAAGCTGACCTGCACATGACTGACCTTCTGCCCAGGACATTTGGGATGCTTTTGCAGGGCACTTACCAGTCTTGCTGTTGGCAGACAGGTGTGAAAAGAACAGAAAGCAGACATCGCTGTCTGCTGATTTAATTTTTGCTCTCAGAGCAGCCAGGACTGGGTCTGCAAGCTCCTAATGGCAGACCTCTCCCTGAAACAAGAGCAGACGCTGTGAGCTTTACATAGGAGGCTGACAGGCTGAGGCTGACAGGAACCAGCCAGTTGGGGCAGAATGCACTGGGTTTGGCTTCCTTCCCTTTTCTTTCTTGTCGCAGGGGTGGGGTGTAGAACTCAGAAGAGCTCCACCGGTGGCCCTGAGGAGCCTAAAGCCACAATCAGAGTAGGACACAGTTGTGCATCCCGACAGCGGAAACTGACTTGTGCATTGCAATGGCCAAAAACTGTGTGCCCTTTTCATTTATTCATGCAACAAATATTTATTTTTTATTCATTCAACCATTTATTAAGCACTTATTGTTTGTCTATTGTGCCTTCCCTGGGGACACAGGATGAATTGGTCAAATGCCCACAGAACTTCATAGAACTTTTGTTCTTTATTACCCTTCAGCAGGGGTTTGTGCCTGGCCATGAGTTTATGGGACAGAAAAAGGCTTTATGGCCACTGTGTCTCCTCAAGCATTGTGTAGAATTTGAACCCAGGCCTGAGGTGGCTCCAGAGGTGGCCCTGGAAGACCCCTCTGAAGAGGCATGGTCCTATGAATTTCCTCTCAGGCAAATCTTGGCTATCCCAGGTGGGATTTTCTGATGTCCTGTGTTTAATGGGGGAAAGGCAGACCATGCATCCCTAAGGACTGGCCATGACTTCAGATCCTCTCAGGGGCATGGGAAGAAAAGCATGGGGTCATTTCCCAGGGAGTTTGGTGACAATAGGCTAACAAGAGTAGCAACCTCTCTATGTGGATGTGAGATGTTGGGTCTGCAGACCCAGTCCAGGTTCTTTGCAGAGGCTCACCTGGCCCACCATGCCCCGGCCACACAGCTCTGCCCACCTCCCCACCTTCTACCAAGCCAGTGTGAACAGTCCCACCCAACATCCTTCACGGCTACACAGCTCTGCCCCCCCACCTTCCACCCAGTCAGTGTGAGCAGTCCCACCCAACATCCTTCACAGCTACACAGCTCTGCCCCCCCACCTTCCACCCAGTCAGTGTGAGCCGTCCCACCCAACATCCTTCACGGCTACACAGCTCTGACCCCCACCTTCCACCCAGTC